AACAAACACAAACAAAAACAAACAAACACAAACAAAAACAAACAAACACAAACAAACACAAACAAACACAAACAAACACAGACAAACACAAACAAACACAAACAAACACACGCAAACACAAACAAACAAAAACAAATAAAAACAAGCAAAAACAAACAACAACAAACAACAACAACAACGACAACAACAACAACAAAAACACACAAAAACAAGCAACAACAAGCAGAAACAAGCTAAAACAAACAAAAGCAACCACAAATAAACAACAACAAACAAAAACAAACAAACAACCAATCAAACGACAATAGCACAGACACACACACACACACACATGTAGCACAATTAGAACACGTGTACACAGGCTCGTATAGTTAATCAGTTTGAGAAGTGATGATGGTGACTTCGTAGAGACGGCCCGTGTGGTTGTAGACTGAAGTACCCTACAGGATATGACCCTGCTAAAATGAGGAAATATGGACTACCACGGAAAGTCCAGCTCCCGAGGTGGCGCTTAGCTGTGAAGCTTGGCACTCGCGCTGAGGTCGGACTGATGTCTGATTTCATTGGGGCTGGCAATTGGCTAGGTGGGCTCGATTCCGCTTTGGGTTTGGGGTTTGTTACCAGAGAAGAAACTTCTACAAGAGCGGCTTGACCAAGAGCTTCATGGCTGTTAGACAGAACTAAGGATGCTCTGAAATCCTCACCTACGTGACACTTTGGGAAGATTTGGAATTTCCCTTATGGTTTTTTTTATAGAGGTACCTCGTCATAAATACCTGTGAGGGCCCCAAAACTACAACCCAGTCACAGTACGAGAGTACAATCCTGGAAGTAAAGTTTTGGAACAGCGAGCATTATGATTGCTATTTCGGGAGCGCGGATTTAAAGCAGCAAGCGACGCTGATTCATTTCACTCTGAGCCGTACAAATGGTGTACAAAGCATGGGGCTGGTGATGGCCGCGCCAGATGCAATACGTGGTATATGATGTAGCATAAGATTACGTATACATATGTATATATATATATACATATATATATATATATATATATGGTCTATAGTATAATATAAGTCATGACGCCGTTTGGTCAGGTCAGAGACGACACCGGCTCCGAAGAGAAGCCTGTCAAGGAGGAGCACTAGTCCAGGGCGTCGGTAAGTGGTTAGTGGCATGAGATGGGTTTAGGGTTTAGGGTTTTGAGTTTGATGAAGAAAGCATCAGTAGACTGGTGCTCATGATAATCGCGAGAAGCAGCTTCCCTCAACACCGTTCCTGATTGGATGAGCTGCCTCGATGCTGTGTCTTGTTCCGAGCTCCACCGCGAGGAAGGAACCAAAAAGCCAAAATGTTGCTGTACAGTGATGTGATCCGGCGCGTGTTGTCATGAACAGTTGCAAAGTCTAATTGCCACATTGTGGAGTGTGTTGTGGGTTCGCAAGGGTCCCTTGCGAACCCAAGACACCTCCACGTTACGGCAGCTGCGTAGCATAATCGTTGGTTCGATCGAGCTATCCGTAGCAGGCTAACACAGCTGATGGGCTCGATTTGGTGCCTGCCAAATGGCAGGTGCCGTCCCTCACAGTCTGCCCGAAGTGGAGACAAGAAAAGCTCTGGGAATCGTTACGGTGAACTCATTGAGCCCGTGGAGACAGTTTGGTGCAAGTCCGCACGGCACGGTCGTCAAGTTGCAAAGTGCTGCAGCTAGAGTCCACTGCCCCGACAGGCGGCAAGCTACATTCGTGGACTTGCAGATCTGCTTTGTGCAGATGGCATGTGCATGGTGGCCAGATGCTGAGAGTAAGGGCACCAACAGGAGCTGTTGCATTTCACACTTGTCAACCAGGCTTGGCCAATCTGATGCGCCGGCAACTCCAAGTCATGCATTCGTGAGGTTTCGAACACTCCCGCACGGCACCGGCACCTGGCAGATCTCTTCCAGATTGCCGAGGTTGTAAAGCTTCATCCCGAGGATCCGTCGATGTTTGCTTTTTGCATCAGCAAATCTCTGCAGCATGTGTTGGCAAGGAGGAGCCTTTTGGACCCTGCCTTTACATCTGCCGGCGGAGGAATTCTGATGCGGAGATAGAAGTTAGCAAGGAGGAGATTCACCCCGAAGTGCACTGCAAAAGAATTGCACTGCTTTTCCTCAGCACAATGCAGCGATAAGGCTCCTCTCATTGGTGTGAGTAGCTGGGTGGGCTGTTTGGCAGCGATGTGTGTCAACTTACCAGGGATGTGTCGAGATGCCAGTACCCCACCGCCTCCTTGGTTCGTCCTGTCAGGCAGAAGCATCCAAGCGGCAAGCTACTGATTCGCGGGTACTCGAAGTGTAGCATCCTCTTGCACCTGTCGCCAGCGACATCCAGACGAAACTTCAACCAAACACCAAACATGTAAGCACCTGGCATGATTGGGCCAAAGATGCCCTGGCCAATCACCCGTGACAAAGATCGGTGGAGTGCCCTGCACTAGCATGCTCACTTCGTGCAGCTCACAGTTTACAAGACGCCAAGCACACAAGCCTCCCGCTTTCGGGTATGTGAATTGCCGGATTGTAATTGCGACAGTGTTTCCTTCCAGCCAGAGATTGCGGTTACCGTACACTAAAGCAATTTATCGTGATGTGAGTGTTTGATGGTGCTTGCCAGCAACATTGAAGTGACGAGTCACGGCATTGACGGTAGATTCCGGCCGAGCAGCTTTCTGCTTGCCGCAGCTGTTCACCAGGGAATGATCTTAGCTGTCTAAGATTTGCTGTATGCCTGGTACTTGAGACTGGTCCGCGCCTCAGCATCTCTCGAAGCTGGGTTCTTGTACAAAGCAGGATCTCTGGGGCATCCTTGCTTCAAGAAGCTCGAGTTGTCATGAGAACTGGAAGGGGAGCCAGAGCGGGGACTGGACTGCTGAAAAGCTACCGCAATCTTGAGGCCCGTCTATACCTGAAAACTAGGGTGTGCTTACGGATTACAGCACCTCGCGAAAACGTGCCTTTTGCATGCAAGGAAGGCTTGTCGAGAGATGTTGAATCTCTTGGGCGCTTTGAAGAACTTCGAATTTCCCTTTATCATTCCTATAAGGGCCCAAAACTAGAACCCAGTTCCCGTCAGGAGGAATGGGCGGCTGCGGCTCAAAAAGCCGAGTGGAGGCGACGCAGCCTAAGGCTTCGAAGGCGGGCTTCGGGCTGCGGCTCTGGGCTGTCGGGCATCGTGTTTAGGGGTTTAGGGCTTTAGGGATTTAGGGTTTAGGGTTTTGAGTCGTCTGCAGAATTCTGCAGATACGCCGTGAGGGATCTTGGGCTTCTTGCATCTGCGGAGCATGCACTGCGCTTTGTGCATTGCTGGCAGCTGGCGCAGGCTCCAGAACCTCTTATCTCCAACCTGCATTCAGATCCAAGTGGCCAGCCCATTGACGCTGGCAGCTGGCCTGCACCGTGAGAAGCACGTGCTTAGTACACGCATTACAGTACATCGTTTCGTTGTGACAGCTTCAAGTTATTTTACATTGCAGAACTATAGCATACTGTCTTCCGGTATATGCTTCTGCAGCATGTTGTATGATGAAACGGTCACAGAGACGACAGAACAGCATAGGATGCACCATGCCCCCGCCTAGTTGCAATCTGGATAAAGCCCGAAACCTCAAGAAAAGCCATTGCAGCCTGTCCATACCTGTAGTGGAGGCCAGATGCGGATCCAGCAGGAACTGCTTCGTCTAGGGCGTCAGTGTATTGTAGTTCTTGAAGTTGCATTTGGCACTTTGGGTTGCGGTCGTAGGCATCTTTCATATAGCACAACGGCCATTTAGACTGCGGACCGCATCAGTGCCCTAGCGTATGCTTGATATCTCATCGCATACAACATGTCTGTAGTAGAACTGCAAGGGAGGCAGGGAGCTTTTTAGCCCAGTTAGATCACATAACTAACCGAACAAAGTCCAAGCCAAGCGTGCTAACTCACAGTGCAACCTGAGACAAAACGGCACGGTAGACACTCTGCTGCAGTTTCACACGCTGCACTATAGGACCGGACACGAGAGGAGACACGAGATGACATGACACGAGAATACAGCCGTTTCAGTGGAATATTACTGTGGACAAGGATCAGAACAGGACAGCGCAGACGGAGTAAAGCAGAATAGAACAGACCATGCATGCGAACGTTCCGGGAGCAGTCTTCCTGGGCCGGGCTGCATCTACTCCACACTTCTTTCAATCAGCCATCACTGCATCATTCCTAAAGTCTCGTTGCTCAGACAAGCAGAGCTCATAGACAGGATTGAAGGTTGGGATCCTCCCCGGACACATGATGTTAGCCTGTACTGTAGCATCTGCAACTGAGGCGCTGGCCACAATGCAGGCGTGTGTTGGGGCTGTTCTTTGCCTCAGGGCTAGGCCTTGCTTACGCTTTGCCCCCAGCCCCTCTGCGAGGTAGCGCAAAGGCCGCCAAGCAGCCTTTGCCAGCTAAGGGGGACCTTTCCAAACTCCAAGCGCCTTCGTCTCAGCTTCTCGCTACATCTCTGCCGAATGGCGTTGTATACGGCCTTCCACGAAAATGCCTGCGTACAAGTGGCGGCGCATGCTTCGCATAAGGCCCGCGGATGATGTGCAGCTCGTGCTCAGCGCCGGTGACATCCGCCCGGCACTTAGTCACAGCGTCTTTGCACTATGCTGCTGTTCTTCAGCCTGTCGTTCATGACATTATGTCATCGCTAGATGATGCCAGGAGGCAGACTACCCAGCGGTACTGTAATTTCAAGTACTTGCGGGCCATCTTCAGCGGCGCCGCCTCTATCCCTGCCAGCCCACCCTACATTGCTGTAGTGTACCAGCAGGGCAAGATTTAACGTTCCTGTTGGTAGATAGATAGCTTAAAGCAGCAGCATGTTCGTAACTGTCGTAGCATCATATCACCAGAATAACACACCATCTTAAAAGATCTCATATCACCGCCTTATCCCAAAGCGCTGTCGAAACGAAACCATATTGCGTGTTGCAATATTCTCGCAGATGATGTGTTGGTTTGCTTTACCAGGATTTCGGGCTTGTAGAGTCATGATTCTGTGACAAGTGCAAAATTAGTTTTAGTACATGTTGCAGTCTGGTGGTATTCGGGCAGTCCTGCATTCTCGTAGTGGGTTTCGAAGGGCATAATTCTGACAAAAATCTACAACCGTAAACCCTAAACCGTAAACTGCACTCTTGCCATCCAGGTGACAAGTATGAGATCCTGGCCGTCTTGGGCAGCGGCTCCTTCGGAGAGGCGCCTCTTCGTACTGACCGGGTAGACCTTTTAATACAAATGGGAGTTTCCGAAAATTAGGGGTACCTTATTTTGGGGTCCTTCTAATACGGATCCTATTATTTGGGGTACTATATTAGGGTCCCCTATTTTCGGAAACCCCCAAATGCTACTGCTAGTCAGGCATAGTAGTGACAATAGGAATAGAAGGCATAATGTTCAGGACAAGAAGAAGGAATAGTAAGACTGATAGCAACAACAATAACACTAACACTAGCACTAGCTATAAGAACGACGATGACTGTGACAACAACAATAGCAATAGCTGTAGTAATGGTAGTAACAGTATTGAAAGCGTTAGTAATAGTAATCACCAGGATAAATGTAATATTAACACAAACAAGAAGAATAGTAACAACACTTGTAATCGGAATGACAATAGTAGTAATAGCCAGAAAACAAATAACGATAGGAACATCCTTAATGCTGATACTAACGCTTGTACGACTAATGCTACTAATCGTAATGCTCGTGCTAACATTTATCCCAATGCTAGTACTGATACGCGTACAAATACAGTCCTAATCCTAATGCCACCACCAACCGCCACCCACCACCACCCACCACCACCCACCACCACCCACCACCACCCACCACTACCCACCACTACCCACCACAGCCCACCACCACCCACCACTACCCACCACCACCGACTACCGCCCACCACCATCCACCGCCAACCCCACCGCCACCACCACCACCACCACCACCACCACCGCCACTACTGCTACTACTAATACTAATACTGATATTGACATACACTAACAAAAATTCTAACACTAGCACTCACTCTAACACAAATACTAGTGAACTAGTGCTACTATTAATGTTACTTTGAATGCTAATACAAATGAAGGTGCTGCGACTGACAACAACCATGATAGCAACAGCTACAACACCAATAGATATAGTAACAGCAATAACGACCGTAATGATCGTGATACTGACTATTCGAATCACAATGCTCCCACACTGCAAGTCAGCAACCTCGCATCTCTTCAAGCTCTGCTCTCTGAAGGTGAAGGAGATCAGGGTCAAGGCCTTTCCCGATAAGCTACGCGCCGTGAAGATCACTGAGCGCCAGGCCAGGGAAGTTAGCGTAGTTTCCAGGTTTCGAGACATAAGGCTGAAGACTTAGCAGATGGCCTTGCAGCAGATTCTGAAGCATAAACATGGTCTGCTTTGAGACTGCGCCGCCTTGGCGTCTCAGAGCAGCAGTTGAGCTCAGCTACGCAGTGTTTGTAGAAGCTGCTGGATGCCAGCGCCAGGTTGATGACAAGGGAGAGAAGGGGCAGAAGAAACTTGATTCCTTGGCGATGTTCCGGAAAGAGGTCGAACTTCTAAGATCTTTGAAGCACCCGTGACTCAGCTTCACATGCATGAGTCAATGCTTCGATACAAGTTTGGACAACATGCATGCGTGCCAACTGCATGTTACACATACCAAGCTGAGGAACATCGTTCGGGTTTGGGATGTCTACGACGCCAGGCTTATTTTGCACTGTCAGCGGCTCCTGCACGTGGTAATCCTGTAGCTCCGTGCAACACTGTGAGTTAGCACCAAGTGAACTAAGGAGACATCTCACTATCTTTATGTAGTAATGGATCTGTGCCGCGGCGGCGAGTTGTTCGAAATGATCAACGAGGCAAGGTACGCAGACTGTTTGTTTGCTAGCGAAACGGCAAGTCTCTGGTCACGTCCATTGCATCGGACTTTCCGTCTTCTGCCCCGTTGTTGCGCAGATGGATCGCCTCTCAGAAACCGACACCGCAGTGATTGCAAAGCAATTGCTGGGACGCTATGCTGCAAATTGCAGATGCAGTGCTGTCTGTGGGTAGACGCATTGCAGCTTGCGAAGCTGTGATTCCATGCGCATGCAGCAGAAGGTGGCATCGACTACATGCACAGCAAGGGCGTCATGCATCGGGATATCAAAGCCGAAAATGTGCTGCTAACCGAGTGGTCACCAACGGCAGTCGTGAAAATCATCGACTTCGGTATCGCCGCGAGGCTGGTCATCGGGTTCATGTGCTCCTATCGACATCAGATGCATGCAAAGGGAAGTGTCAGTGCACGTGTACCGTGTAGGAAATTGGAGCGGATGATTGTAAGACCCATGCTTACGGTCCGATAGTGTTGCTCTAACGTTCTTCTGTCCTCTAACTCGGATCATGAAAAAAAGAGATTCGCACACTTCCATCACACACGTGTGCTTTTGGAATCAAAAGCTCGGCAGAAGAAAAGCAGCGATGACGCAGCAAATGTAAGCAGAATGCGTGAGTCGTTCTGTTGCTACATCGTCAGAGATTTCTGCAGGTTTCAGCGTGGAGAAATGTTCGACAAGATCTCGGGCTCGCCTCAATACATGGCGCCAGAGCTTGTTGGGCAGCGCTATGATTACCGGGTAGATATGCGACTTGGACAGGCATTGATGCCTTGCTTACCATTCTGGGTTTCAACGGCTCCTACCTGCTTCAGCACCCAGGTGGGCATTTGGCGTCCTGGTGTACTTTGCTCTCTATGGGCGCTACCCTTTCGACGGCAACAATGTCCGTGAGATTCTTTTAACAGTCCTTCATGGGACTATTGAGTGGGACAGTGACGCAGCAAGGCTGCAAAGGTCTGCACAGCCACATCGAGTGTAAGTTGCAGAGCCTCATGGATCTGAGCATCTTCGGCCAGGTATCGATTGATTCAAAGACCATTGCCTTTCTTAAAGGATGTCTGAACAGAAAGCCAAGAAAGAGAACCACGGCGAAGGCACGGTAGCATTATGGTTGCTGTTGTTCTTGGTCTCCCTGTTCTGGCTCAGCTGGATCGAGGCTGCCATGAGCCATCCCTGGATCATGTCCGCGAAGAAGCCGGATGCCGAATCCTGGATGTGCTTGTATGTTGTAGTATGATGCCAGAATACCCGGTGCCGGTGGCTGCCTCCCTCTAAGTTGGTGGTGATGCCGCTATAGAGAAGTCTCGGCTGGGCGACCTGCATGGACTCTGCCAGCCCAGGAGAAACATCGGGAACCCACTGAGATCAACATCTCCAGCGACATCCTCAAAGGGGATCCGAAGGTTCCCGCCCCAGGCTGGTGCCCTACGGATCGTGCCGGTGTTACACGTCACAGATGAAATCTTGCATGCTTCTTAAGTCTAGCAACGTCAGGCACAGACAAGAAAGCGCCAGTGGAAAAGCCAGAAGCAGTTAAAGATGACGGCTGGCCTTGCCATGTTTGGCTTTCTTGCCGCGAATGTGCTCGTCCCGAGTTTCAGGGCTTCGTTTGACCCTTTATTCCGTGGCAGGAGGCAAGCGAACTGCGCTTCGCGTGCGGCAGGACTGGCAGCTGGGAGCAGGAGCAGTAGTCGCTGTCCCATACTGAGACACGGAGTGCCAGGATGATCCGTCAGCAGCCGCCGGCATTGGCCAGGACAAACTGTCATGGCCCAGAGGGATGCAGACTCCAGGTCCTTTACTTCTGACTTGTGCACCCTAGTAACCTCGTAGTGACAAGTCCAGCCTCAGCTCGATCCCGAGAGACCCCCTGACCGAATTCTGAAGGTACCAGCTCCGACGTCCAATAGCCGAACACAGATACAATTCTCACTCGCCTTCAAAGCCCAAGTCTCCTAAAGCCACACCGAAGGAAGCCACTGGCTCTCAAGGTGCCACAGAAGAAGAAGGCGGGAAGCTTGGGGGAATCTCCATTTCTTTGAGCCTCACAAAGGGCCCTCGACATGTTGAATGGTGTCAGGCCAAGTGGACTTCATGCTAGACCCCAACCAGGCAGGTAAGGGGGACACATGCAATTGCTACACGTCCTTTCCTACCAGATCTGCCGTTACTCCAAACCTGTCTGAGGCACTAGAGTTCCAGGACATGTACTCAGATTGGAAGCGACAGACGTCTACGGACAGTACGGCTTCCTCGCACTTGACCCAGCTTCGGGCCGGGGCTGTTGAGCAGTAGCAACCTAAAGCACCAAATCAAGGTCCCTTGTAGATTTGCTTTGTAAACTGTGCTGTGCTCTACATCCCCCGACAGGGATCCGGGGGAGGGGGGGATACCACGGGGTGGGGGGGGGGGGGGGGGGGGTTGTGATTTTAGCAATTGAGGGGTAAGTATAGACTTAGAAGTGTGACGCCTTCCCAAGCTTAAGCCGCTCCCATAGAGACCCTAGGCCCTCCCTAAACCCTAAAACCCTAAACTCCTACAATAGCCATACTTGGATCCTTTGAATCTGGGATGCAGCCTGAAAGCCCTAAACCCAAACCCTGATCCCCAAACGCCAAAACCCTAAATAACCCCAAAACCCTATATCCTGACTGAACCTAGACCCCTCCATCTACCCTCTATTAGACCCTAAATACCCCTTATTTAATTTGGGACCATGTGCTACCCTAAACCCTCAACCCTCAACAACCCTCAACCCCAAAAAACCCCGGCACAGTGGACCACCAAATCCAGCAAAACAAGATGGCTCAATCACACCTCAGAGCAGTTTTGCAGTCAGAGGTCCTTCCCATGCTTCAGGACATTGACAGAGCATGCAAGGTTCTCACAGCAGCGCGAAGCTCGAAACCTGCAGGATAAACCCGTGCGCGCCATGCCTCTCAGGTCCCTCTTTCACGAGGGGGTCTCATACCTCTCCCAGGAGAGCCACGCGTACTATGTCGTGGCTATCTGCATGTCTGCAGCCATTGGGCTGCTGGGGGTCCAGCTTTACTTCAAGCTGCCCGCCATCAATGAATTCTGGAAGAAGTGGTTCGGCATGTGCATGAGAATTTGTGGTGCCCTGCATGACCTGCCTGATCAGATGACGAAGGTCCGCCAGGACCAGGCTTGGATTATGGGCATGATGAACGAATTCGCGAAATCACAACGACAACTGCAAGAGGACTTACTGAATTTGCGCGCTGCATGCCTTTCTCAAGAAATGCAGTCGCGGCTGAGTGAGATTGAGAAGATCCTTCATCGATGGGATGTGTCGCTGGGGTATCAGATTGGGACGGATCTGAATGGCCTGGCAAACACGTTGGAGCAGTTGTGCCAATTAATTCGGAATTCATCCAGCGAGCGGATGCTCGCATCCGTTGCACAGGATGCGGCCAGCATCCGACAACAGCTGCGCGTTGTTGAAGCGCTTGTCCGAGTGGAACCCCAGCCAGTGAATGCTGGCGAGCCCCACATCCGGTATCGCAGACCCCCGATCGGGAATTCATGAATTCTTGCATGCTGCATGACAAAAGATCGCTCTACGGTGAGTTGGAGGTAATTTCTAATTCAACGACGCTTCAAGCATGCCTTATAAAGCCTTGGCTCGAAGGAGCTCCTCACATCCAGGATGGGCTCCCCCGCAAGCTTTGATGTACCACTTCGTGAACCTAGTGGGGTTTTGGATCTTTGCAACTCTGAGGAGGAACATGAACATGAAGTGGTGGCCTCTCCCTCGGTGTCCCCTAGCCACAGTACAAGCAGCTCCCTTTGTGAACGCCTCCCTCCAACCTTAAGAAGAGAGCTCACGGAGGACCCCTTGTTACGACCGATTGAATTGGCCGCGGCCAAAATCCTTTGCCGATCCTGCCCTCCTACACTGCATGACGTACTAATGTTATTTCGTCTTTATCCCAACAATTACTTGAACTATCGAGATGGAGTGCGCTATGTAGTGGCGGGAGCAAACCCCCGAAGTAGTGAACAACTTCTGACATTCTCCCTTGACATGCCCTACTTCTGCATGGTAGTAACCAAGGCTATAGCCTGGATTGCACCGCACTTTCGGTACACTACTTTCACTATCAGATGTGGATGCAGGGAAACACCGCATCGGGATGTGCGTAACGGCATGGATGAATCCTTGGTAGTACAACTCACACCACCTATACCAGGATCAGGCCTATGGGTCCAGGACCCCATGGGAACCATAAGCATGCAACATGAGGGAGTCGCAGTTCTAGGACGCATTGTTAACATCGACAAACCATTTTCCTAAAAGCGAGGCGACTTCTACACGCAGGCTACCTTCCACCTGGAGTAGACCCGACAAGCCGAATCATCTTGGTTGCCTTTACTACTATCAATGTTAACACTCTCAGTGATGAACTTCTCAACCGCCTCCTCAACCTTGGGTTCAGGATCACTCACCACACTGATTTGCATGTGAGTCTAAACGAACAACCCCGACTGAGACAGCTGACATTACGAGAACTCTTCTTACTTCCGACCGAAGCCCGAGATGAACATGATGTAGTAACTGTTTTGTCTCATTCGGATCGCATCCTTGAGCCTGACTCCCTTGGGGAAGTAGTGGAAGTACTTGACAGTCAAGAACAACAAGAAGCCTCAACTTTGACCTCAAACCTCAACCCAGAGTATAACTCTGAGGTCGCTACTGTTACTGCTGTTGAGTCCGCATTATCATTCCTATCATCCTCAGATTCACTGCGGCCGTCGCCAGACTCGAGACACTAGTACTGGCGCAACCTAGTCTCGAATCAACATGACAGCCTTTCGCTTCGTACAACCAGGACATCCATCGTGGTTCCGGCCGCTACAACCGCTGGAACTGCATGAAACCCTGGAAACGATACCGGTGGACTTTGCGATATGTCTAGCTACACGCTTTAGGTGGTTGTTAGCTGTTAGTACATAGCCGACTTGCATGGCGCGAATTTGTTTGGAGATCCCACACCCTTGACAACTATGTAGACTGCTTGGAAAGGGTCGTCATTGACTTTCAGAATAGGAACGACGATGGAAGTAGTCCACTCCTTCTCTCTAATGATGATAACGATTTCATTGAGTTCCTGCTCATGGATCTTTGGGGGCGATTTGATGCGTCTTCTGAAGCTTTGGTGTGGGTAGTGTTTGGTTGTCACCTACCTTGCTTCCAGATTCTGTTACAGCAAGCAACATGCCCGCGCAGGTGTGAATAAGCAAGGAGGGAGGAGGAACACCACACAGCGTAGCGCCCCTGATGCATGATGATGAGATGACGTCTGCTGCTGCTGCCTGCTATCAGGGTAATACACTGTGTGTTGATTGTTCTGCGCCGGACGCCCATTCTATCTCCGTTTCGCCACATGACCTTTGGACTGGCACGAC